GCGGGAAGCCTGCTTCTCCCTCACCCACTCCCCCTGCTTGTGTTCCTGCTCTCGCTATCTCTCTGTCAAATAAATAAATAAAATCTTTAAAAAAAAAAAAAACTAAATTAATGACAGTAACTTAAGGGATAAGATTTTCTCAATTTTAGATTCATTGGCCATAGGCTTGTCTTAAACCTCTGAGGTCTAGTATCACTCATCCACACTAGACTCTCACACGATATTAAATGCACACATTATTTTGATTAGTGTTGCATATTCCAAAGCATTCTACAAAGAGCTCCCTGGTATCTGGGTCCTCTGCAACCTGTGCTACAGGGAGAACTGGCAGCCTCCATGGTATTCTGGACGAGAAAAAATCAGCATGATCTCTGAAAGGCAAATAGGTCTGACCTGGGAAGAAAAATAACTATTCTGAGTCTACAGAGAGGCCAGAAAAGAACAGAAGAGAGATGCAAACCAGACAGCACTGAGTTCTGATTTAACATGATCTCAAAGAGGGCCGCTTGGGAGCCTGGGGCGGCCTCTGGGCTCAAGAGGCCGCCAGCATCCCTACGTTTCACTTGCCTGTCTCTCCAGGATCCTCTTCCTCTCCATTTCCTGTTTCCTTTTCTTTTTCAGTTCCTCAAACTGTTCTCTGGTTGGCAGTGACATCAAACCCAGCAACTTTTCCTGTAGGGAGTCATGGACAATTTTGTATTTAAATCCTTTTAGGAAGAAAATGAGCCTAATGAAGTCTGTTTGTAAGATTCTATCCAAGCCCCACACCCCCGCTACCCCTTCCCTGCTCTAGGTTTCTCCACAGCACTTTTCACCATCTTAGAAATTCTATATTGTAGTTGGTTTTTGTCTATCTCCTTCCAGAAAAAAAGCTTTATGAGAACAGGAATGTCTTTTTGTTCATGTCAGGACACGCAGCACCTAGCACATTGCCTGGTACACAGTAGGCACTCACCGAGTGACTGCTGAATACAACACTAGTCAAAAGGAGAAGGGGCCTAATTCTCTGCAATACGGTGTTGGAAAACTAACCGAACAGAGCTCGCTCTGTCATTAAGCCCAGATGTGGTTCACTGTGGCTCTCCCAAGGGGTGTTCTAGGTAGAAGCAACTCAGCTCTAACCACCCAGGGTTAGTCTGCCTATGAACAATCAGCTGTTTCCTCCCAAGCAAAGGCCCAAGAAGAGTCCCTCGGGAGCTTATCCTGAGGAAGAAATGGCATGTATCAGTATGTCTGTCAGGCTGTACTCACACTAGCAAAAAGCAGGAATCTATCAGATGCCCAATGAAAGGGGAATAATTAAATAAAGGATGGTGCACAGAAAGTCGTATTCTGCAGCCATTCAAATGGTAACTATTTAAATGAAGACTACGTAAGAAGTGCTTATGATACAAAATTCAGTGTTAAAAAGAGAAGACATAAATTTGTAACTATGCACTAATCATAACTACTTTATATAACAAATGCAAATGAAAATAAAGGGAGGAAAATATACCAGAATGATGTGTAATAGTATTGGGGACAAAGGATTAAGAAGTTTTTACTTTTCTCTGTAATTCAGATTTTTCTCTAAATGTGGCATAATTATATTTACAATTTTAAAAAATAATAAATGTACAGAGAACAAACCATTGGCACGGTCTGCCTTCTGAGAGGCAGAAAAGCAGGGGAAGCAAATGAGACGTTTCTTTGAGAAATGAGACAGGATGGCTTTACCTGCACAAACAGCGTAGCTGAGTATCTGATCATCCTCTGCAGCCGCAAAGTGTTTGGATGTGGTGGAGGGTCCTGGTTCAAGCCTAAGGTTAAGATCTTCTTACTGAATTGGGACAAACACATCAATGTAACAGGTGCTGCCAGCCCCAGAAACAAGGGTTAAATCTCTGAGTTGCTGGGCTTTTGTGCCAGGACCATCCGCGGAGGAAGCAGGTTAAAGACTCCACAGAATGTCCTTGAAGGCAAAGCCCATTCCTTACCCTCTGGTTGTACCCAAAGCCCCTGACACAGCACAGGGTGTCTAACCAACACTCAGCCATCGAGGAACTGACCACACATGCAGGGCCAACTTCATGGGTGAGTGACCCATGCCTGGTTTAATATTCTGGTGTCACTGTCTTAAAATTCTTTTTTTTTTTTTTAATGGGAGCAGGGCCTGGGGGGCCAGTGAGGGACTCCCCGGGCCCCTGGAGTGGGCTGAGGTGGGGAAGGCAGGAAGCAACTGGCTTTGCCAGGCTGGTACACAAGCTGAAACTGGGCCAGGGGGTTTGTGGACAGTGCTGGGGGCAACACTGGGCAGCAGGAGGCCACAGCCACTCCAAGACCCACATCTTAAAATTCTTAATAATTCTTGCTTTTTCATTTTACCCTAGGTCCCACAAATTACATAGTCAGTTCTGCACAGATGGATGGACAAGGCCTCCTCATCTCAGTTCTCCCTCTGAATCACTATGCTTTCTATACCTCAAAGGGCTGATTTAACCCCAACAGCCAGTCCATGGTTAAAAAGCCGCTGTTGACTTGAAGAAAAAATCTGAGTTTCTATCCTGGCTCCACCGCTTTGCTAGCTGTGATGCATCTTCTCACCTACAAAGTAAGGGTATTAATCCCCACCACCCGGCTAACTTGGTTGAATAAATGAGATGTGGATACAACCAATGGCTGGTACAAAGATGGTGTCAATAATCAGTTCCTACTTCTTTAATAATGATGAACATTAGAAATCTTAACCAAGTTACTGAGATGTGGTGAGTGCCAGAGCCGGCACCTACCTCAGCCTGCTCCTCACACGTACTCTCTGTCACCAGGACTCTGGGTAAGCTCGGGCCCGACAGCCACCCTCCCACCCCACTGAAACCGCATCTCCTCCACTCAAGGCAGCAAGTCAGACATCACCTAACAGGCCTTACCTTAAAGCATCTATGAGCTCGTACACTTTCTGCACTTCCACTCGAAGGTCACTGGCATGTTCCAGGCTGTAGGTTGTCTCCCCAGCACTAAGGAAAAATCACGGAAATGTTTGATTCAAGTTTCACCTCTAAAGGTTTAGGGTCTTACAAAGGGAGACACAGCTAATTCTCTCCAAGTGGTATTATTTCACACTCTTGTATATAATGCAGGGCTCATTCCTTTAAGTGCTAATCAACTGGAAGCTGCTTTCAATTTGCAGACGCCACAGGAGCAGATTTGTGCCTAGACCTTTAAGGACTAGCTCTTACGCTCATCACCAAGATAAATGCAAATGAACTACTTCAACCTACTTTCCCTAAACAATTTCACTATACCTAGTAAGACATATGAAGTGGTTTACTAAATAAGCTGGTTACCCTATATCCCAGGAGAAAGCAGCTGGCTTTTCTCACTCAAACACTACCCCCAGGGAGAACAGGAACAATGAGAAAGCTGACCAAGGAAACCCGAACACCTAGCAATACCCAGCACAGCATTATATCGATTGCCAATGCTCCTGGGCCTCATTAACAATTGCTCCCTACATGAGAAAAGCACTTTGACACCAAATCAAGCAGGGAGGAGACAGGGGATAACTGCCCAGGGTGGAGCAGGGGGCTGCAGGGAAGGTCAGAGATGGCTTCATTCCACTTAACTCAGAGGAACAGCAGCAGTTATTATGTGATCTTAGAACTGTTCATTTACAAGTGTGTCACCCCGTCAGGCCTGAAATGCAAAGGCAATGATGATGGCTTATCATTTTTATCCTCAGTAACTAGCACATGGCCAAGCTTCATCAGTGCTCACTGAAAAGAAAAACACTTCAGAAGATCTTGCAGCTGTTAATGCAGCCTCAGCAACGGCCACTCGGCTCCCTTCCTGAGGCAGCAGCAATTTAAGTTAAATAAGCAGAAAGGACTGCTGCGCTGACCTGGTTTACCATCTACAAGACAGCCCTAGCTGGAAAAATCTTGGTGTGTGCTATAATTGGAGGATCCTATTGGATGTTGGCTTCATCATCTCAAACCGCATAGTTTGCAAAAAGAACATCAGACCAGAATCAGGAATGCTTGCACTTTGTCTTGATATCTCCAAGTCACATGGAAAATAACACGGATGGCTCAAATCTGAAAGCACCCTCCCCCCCAACCCCCACCCCTGGTCTCAGTCTCAACCACACATATTCCCCACAGAGCACCTATCACGTCTGGAGTTATCTTGCTCATGATTTGTTCACTTGATTATGGCTGTGCTCCCATGGTAATGAAGCTCCAGGGCAGTGGACACAGTCTGCACTGTTCATTGCTACATCCCCAGTACCTCAAATAGTATTGGCACATAGCTAGTGTTCAGTAAATACCCACAGAATGAATGAGGGAGGAAAATGTGCTTAAAGCCCTTTAGAACCAGTCTTTGGAGAGCGAGTAGGAGTTAGACATCTGGAAATGTGCTCAGCGATGGTAGTTTCCCAGCTGGATGGGGAGGCCCAGTGACCCACAGCTGCGTCTGAGGCACAAAGCAAGAAAAACAACAGACTCAGGGGAAGGAGCCCCCTGGGTAACGACGTCATGAGGGAAAGTTGAGTGCCAGCTCAGACTGCCAGGAACACAGTTCTCCTTGCTGACATCCAGGAAGAAGATAGTCCTGCTCTAATTTCAGACCAGTGGGCACAGGTGGGAGGAGGGGTGTTGATTCCAGTAAGTTCCAGGTAGGAAAAGAACATGAGACAGGTGCTACAAGCCAAGGATTCTCCATTTAGGGGAGGTAGATATCAGAAGCACTTGAGCTGCTTCTCCCAGCCTACTCACAGGGAGGCTATATGCTCCATTGATTGAAATTATTGCTCAGTGAACTGCAGGTAGAAAAGAAAACGTGTCCTTCCCTCCTGTTTTTCAGAACCAGTGCTCTTGGAATGAAAAGAGGAAGAACGGGGTATAGAAAGTGCAAATATAAGGGAAGAGAGGCCCTAGGACTGTTGTGGCTGAGAGGGCTGGAGAAACAGGGTGTCCTCCCCTTATCCTGTCTGCTGCCAGGGGCTGCAGACACCCAGTTGCTAGGACTGGAGGAAATGGGGGTGGTCTACAATGGTTTCCCTACCTCTTTTCTGTTCCCTTCCCACCTCTTTCCCCTCCCCATGGCTGGCATACACTGGGGGAGGGAACAGGAACTGGAAGAAGAGCCCCAGAGCAAGAGGAGAGGCAGGGAGACATGCAAGAGAAGGGGTGTTTTTGCCACAGACCAACCATGTTTAGCCGTTCATATTTTGTAAGTCAGACATTTACAGACTCCTAAGTTAGGAAACTCCTTAAGGACCATGTAAATGAAAAAGTTCATTTTCTTTTCATGTGAGATTCACATGATAGACTTAGAATGTGGTCACTGCCATCATGAAGGAAAAGCCAAGCTTTGTGTTTTTTGTTTGTTTTTAAGTAGGCTCCATGCCCAACATGGGGCTTGAACTCATGACCCTGAGATTAAGAGTCACATGCTCTACTGACTGAGCCAGCCAGGTGCCCCAAGCTTTGTTTTGTGGAGACAATATTAACACATTGCCACAGAAAATGGGCAAATAAAAATACAGGTTTGTTCTAAACAAGGCACATTTAATTCCACATGCATCACTACAAAGGTGGCAGGTGGGCAATACAGGCTTAAGACAAAGGCCGATAATCCTCACATAGAGAGCACATAACTGTTTTTCTGCAGGTTGGGAAAAGACTTGCTGCGATCTGATTCTAGTGGTAGCACTTCAAATTCTAGCTCACGTATCACTAACCTGCAGAAGGAGCAATGCTCTTAAGAGAGTGTCAGCATATTTTTTCTGCAAAGGACCAGATAATAATATTTTTAGCTTTGCAGGCCAGAGAGTCTCTGTCACAACTGTTCAACTCTGCTGCTGTAGTTGTAGTTTGCAGTTAAAATCAAACAAATGGGCATGGCTATGCACCAGTAAAATTTTATTCATTAAAAAAATGGCAATAACAAGCATTGGCAAGGATATGGAGAAACTGAAACCCATATGCATTGCTGGCGGAAATGTAAAGTGGTGCAGTCATTTTGGAAAACAGTCTGGCAGTGCCTCAGAAAATTTAAAATCTAGAGTTACCATATGACCCAGCGACTCCACACCTAGGTATAAACCCAAAAGAAATAAAATTATATGTCCACAAAAAAACTTATACAGGAATATTCACTGAAGCATTATTCATAATAGCCAGAAGTGGAAAAACCCAAATGTTCATCAACGGACTAATGGGTACACAAAATGTGGTCTATCCATACAATGCATTTGCACGAGTGGAATGGAACGCTAACACGTGCCGCCACAAGGGTGAATCTTGAAAACACTACACTATGTGAAAGAAGCCAGACACAAAGGATCATGTATTTATATGAAATGTCCCAAAGAGGTGAATCCATAGACAGAAAGCAGACCAGTGGTCACCAGGGAGAGGGGAAATATGCAATGACTAGTAATGGTGGTGGGGTTTCTCTGGATGATAAAAATGGTTTGGAATTAAGACAGCAATGACGGTTGAATGACTCTGTGAAGAACCACTGACCTGTACACATTAAAAGGGTGTGTAAATTATTAATTTTTTTGGTGTGTAAGTTATATTTTAGTTAAAAAAAGAAACAGATGGCAGGTTAGGTTTGGCCCATGGGCTGAGGTGTGCCAACCCCTGTTCTAAAGGAAATGCCTGCTCTAAGCCTGAAGCAGCAGCCCCCCTCTCCCGCCCCGGGGCAGGCACCTGAGGCACACTGTCCTTGCTCACCTCCAGATGCCACACTCGGCAGCGGTGCCTACTGTCTGAGGCCCTTCCCTAACCTGCTCCATCAGAACTGGGGCCCCTTGAACATGGCTACCAGAGGACTGTAACACGTGCCACACAGAAATACAGACATGATAAAGATTCTCCACAGTTGGTCACAGAAGAAAAGCAGCCAGAATTAAGATTTTCATTTTCAGCTACTGAGGAGCTACGCTAAAGTGCCCACAAACAATCGTCACTGAATTAGAAAAACTGAGGAATAGCTTACTTTAATGATGCTGCCATCCTGATGTATTCGGGAGCTTTTTGGTCAACTTTCTCCATGCAAAGTCGTAATTTCTAAGAACAAAACAAAAGAGGTGAGTGGTGCTCTCAAGGTACAAAACAGTTATGCTGCATCAACAGAGATGTATTTAAAATGTACAATTTCCGGGGCACCTGGCTGGCTCAGTCGGTAGAGCATGCAACTCAATCTCTGGGTTGTGAGTTCAAGCCCCACATTGGGTGTGGAGCCTACTTAAAAAAAATTTTTTTTAAATGTACAGTTGGAAATATGCAGTGTTTTTTTGTTTGTTTTTATTGTTGTTATCAATTTCCTGATTTACAAACCTCCTTTACAAGCAGTAAATCTTGCAGGAAGGAAAAAAAGTGAGGGCAGAACTTTTGACAGGATGTTTTTGCAGGGAGCAAGGCCTTCCAGGACATAAGCCAGTGAGTTTACCAAGGCAGAGGAAAGGAACTGGTGGCTACATTCTCTCTCTGCCAGGTGATGAAAGATACTAGCAAATGGTACTGCCAGGGCTCACTTCAAAAATGAAGGAAGGAAAAAGCATTTACAAAAATGAGTTATCAGGTCATGAACTCCATACACAGGATGGGTAATGGCTACATCTGCAGCTCAGGGCTGGGTTTCATTAACACCATTTCTAGTAGTCTAAGTATTTTTCTGGTGATTCCAGAAATGCAGCCATTATGACCCACAGACCTGCTAACAGTGACCATTCAGTGATCAGCAGACAAATATACAGACGGTCCCAGACTTACAATGGTTAGACTTCATGATTTTTCAACTTTACAATGGTGCGAAAGGGATACTCATTCAGTAGGAACGGAACTTGGAGCTTTGAGTGTGGATCTTTGCCCAGACTGGCGACATGCAGTAGGACACCTTCCCGTGACGCTGGGCGGTGGCAGCCGCCGCAGCTCCAGGCCAGCCGTGTGATCACAGGGTCAGCCGCCGATACCCTTACGACCACCCTGTACTCACTCAGCCTTCTGCTTCTCACTTTCAGCACGGTATCCAGTAAGTTACACGATCCACTCAGCACTTTGTTATCCAACAGATTTGTGTTAGAGGCTTCTGCCCAACTGCACGCTAACATCACTGTTCCCAGCACGGTTAGTGTAGGCCAGCCTGCCACACTATGATGTTTGGTATGTTTGGTGTATTAAAGGCAATTTCGACTTGCAATATTTTCAACTCAGGATGGCTTTATCAGGACGTGGCCCCACTGTAAGTGGAGGAAGGCCCAGGCGCTCCTCTGCTCAGGGTTCTACATGCGCTGCTACCTCCACCAGGCTGATCTCCCCCTTCCCATCTCCCATCACCTGCTTATGAAACCTCCAGCTGGCTAATCCTTCTCAGCCTGCAGGTCCCCCCAGCCACTGGGAGTGAGGTAGACTCACTCCCCGTCTGACTCTGAATCCCCCATTTTTGCACGACCCTATGTTCCTCTCAAAGTATGCATCTACTGAATGTGTTTTGGGATTGCTGGTGGTAATGACAGCTGAGGCATTTGAATGGACTTAAAAGGGAAGCTCTATGCCCATGGGCAGTCACTCAAACCTGTAAAGCCTGAAGCTCCCAAGTGAATTTCCCAGGACTCTTCTGGCCCACTGTTCATACCTGATCCACCTCCACTACTCCTCATATGCAAATCCTGTCCACACCGAATGGCAACCATCCTTCCTCCTCTTGCCCCTAGGCCACCAAAGTCTCCAACCTCCTGCTTTCAAGTGGGCAAGGAGGGGTGTGGGAACAAGGTTGTTGCAACACACCCAGGATGACTCTGTGAATCACCCAGGGCCCTAGCTAGGAAACCATACCAGGGCCCTTTAGCAGAAAGTAAAAATGATTCAAAGGAACAACTTCCCAAAGCATTCTCCAAAATATGCAGGCATGCACATAACATGTAACAGCCAAATCTGCATCTCAAATCAGACCCAGGACCACACCCGGTGAGTCACCTCATAGAGCTTTACAATGTCGGGGGTGTGCTCCTTCTCATCAATCTGCTGCTCTCTCTTGAGCAGCGTGTCCTTGCAGTGTGTACAGCAGCGGATCCGGTCGTCATCCTTTTCATCCAGGACGGAGCTTACACTGCTCACGCTGCTGATACTGCCCCGGCGGGAGCCATGGACACTGTTGGGTGACTGGCTGGGGCTGGTGTGGGTGCTCAGGGAATCTTTGCTGGCACTGGTGAGCTTGTCTGTAAAGCACAACACAGGACAGGTGGCAGTGAGCCCGCAGCATCCCATCACCCCACCGCTCACAACAGAGGGGAGGCCACAGGTGCTGATGCAGGCTCTGTCTATGGGCAAGAAGCACCACACCTTTGCCTTCCTGGGGTCAGGCTCTGTGGTGGGAGGGACTCCCAATGCCAGCCAGGAAAAAGCCAGACAGCCTAGGAAGGTCTCTCTTTGAGGCTCTGAAGCCCATTCCTAACCTGACCCAACACAATCCACATTCTCCCCAGACTGTCCTGACAGACTTCCCCACTCCCAAATATCTGACTCCTACCCCTTCCAAAGCTCAGCTCAAATGGTACATCCTTCTGGAAGCCCTACTCTATTCCTTGAGGCAAAAACAATATGCCCTTCCTATCAGGTCCTACCATGTCATCCCTCTTGGAGCACATTCCTCTTTTCTCCCTGTATGACAGTTCTATGTATACCCAGAGCTGCTCTATGAATCTGGGAGGGTAGGAACTGTCTTATTCATACTTGTACCCCAATATATCCAACGGGACCACCCCATAGCACCTGCCCAGTAAATGTTAGTTAATTAGCACAAGATAAGAAAGGTGAATAGTGTCTCAAAAGCATAGCTTATGAAGTCTCAGGTGAAACAGAAAGTCAGTTTCAGGGAGAAAGGGAAGGTATCAAGGTAATGTGTGCCTGCCGGATGTCAGAACGGGACAGAGGAAGCATCTGCTTCTGTCCCACATTGTCCAGATGCTCCATAGCCAACAGCACATGCAGAGTCAGCGGAACTCCCCAGGGTTGCAAAACCACCTCAAATGTCCCAGAATTGGCCCAAAGCCCAAGAGATCATCTTTAGCAACTTTTAACCAGTTGAGACTCAAAGTTCTACACCCTCTGGTTCCACCTAACATTGTAGCCACCATCCCCATAATTCTCAAACGTGTCCTCTATACTCCCCCAACTATTCTATTTGCTCATTTACTAACCTTCCCCCAGGGAAGGGCCCTTTGCTCCTGCTCTGCACTCTACCCAGGATCCCTCCTGCCCTACCTCTTTGCAATCCTTGCTATTTTTTTTTTTT